CGAGGTCAGTTTTCAATCAAAATTTTAATTGTGCAGCACATAAACACAACATATTTCATATGAATTAAGAAAAAAATTGAACTTGAGCCTGCGATCACTTGAAAACTAGTTTACTTGTCAGCGGATAACTTCAAAAAATACTTGACCTCGACGGGTCGACACCTGAGCCCGCGATACGGTCAAGTGATACTGGTCAGCGGGTACTCTGTTTTGACAGCTGTCAATTGATCAAAACATTGATGTCCAATATGTGTGCATTATCAGTTTTCCTGTGCTCCCAAACTAGTAAAAGTATGAGATTGAACGTTCGCGATCTAGTAAAACAGTTAACTGGTCAGCGGACAGCTTCCAAATAAATCACGTCACCTCGATGAGTTGACACATGAGCCCGCGATATGGTCATGGGATACTGGTCAGTGGCTATCCTGTTTGGACAGCTGTCAATTGACCATATTGTTAATGTCCTATATTAAAGATGTGTACTTGCCAAGACACGCCTGAGACACCCCTCCCTTCCTTTTGATAGTCTCCCCTACCCCACCCATACAATCTGTAGACGCGTACGTACGTACGTACGTACGTACGCTCGGTCAATCACGTGACAACCAAACGAAAAGAGGTTGACCATATTCCATGGGTATGGGGCTCTGTCCCACGCGCGCTTCGCGCGCGCGGGAGCCCCGCTATGAACATTCGTTGTGCTACATAATTTACTTTATCCACGTGTTCACCATAGGTCTACTTTGATTTTGCATAACGTGTTCTTTCGTTAAAAATCGAGAAAACTCATTTTGCCCGCTTGGGTCTCAAATTCCACTTCCGGTAAAGCAAAATTTTTCAGAACTTTCATCGTCTCGTCTGTCAAACTACAAGGAGTTGGTAGTTTTTGGTCGACCCGTATAGTTCTTTTTACTCTTTCTTTGTTATATAATGATAGATTTGTGAAAACTCTAAAATTTTTGTCGCCAAAAGGTATTGTTAAAAATGGGCCCTACTTGCGATTTTTAGGCAGCCAAATTATAGGGATAAAAAATAGCAAATGTTAACCTTGCGCTATAACTTAGAATTTCGTAAAATAACTTTTTTTGGCTTAATTAGATACCAATCTATCAGAAAATCAAAACAAATCTCTGGGCAAAAGATTTTAAGTGGCCCGCAAGGCCTTAAGTTTAACCCTAACTTTGCTAAAATTGCCGCTTTTTATGCGTACGTAATTGCGTGACACGGTTCGTCACGTCATTTTTGTCAGATAGCAAGTATACGATTAAAATAATAATCATTTTTAATAATAATCAAGGGAGAAAAGAAAAAACATTCAAAACTTTATTTAAATTTTCTTTTAAGGTTTATTTATCGACGTTTTTTTTTTAATTTTTCATGACATGAGTATATGAATGTGCACTCTTCTTTTTCTTACATAAACACCTGTCGATAGTCCAGGGCTTTCAGCCTTCACCGACGAGAATTACAACCGGCAGGTATCCCAAAAAGAACCTTTTTTTCCTCGCTCAAGTAAAAAAACAAAATACAGAAAAGACGATGTGTCTCACAAACATAGGAATATGTATTTATTTCTATATTACAGATTATTAACCAAAACAACACTAGCGCGATCCTTTCTCGGTATGGCAAGACCTATTGACTCACATTATGCGCATGATATAGCATTTTATACAAGCCTGGTCAAAATGAAAGCAAAAGCCCCGATCAATCTGAGCTGTAGTACATGTAAATAACGTTAAAATAATTACGTTATTTACCTTTTTAAAGTTGAGCGTCAAACAGACAACCATCAATTTTTGTACTCAAAACAACTGGGGCGAATAATGGGTCGTACGACTGAAAAAAAGTCCATTTCTTATTTTCGTTTATTTATGAACTGTTACTTCGGTTTGCGGCTATGGCCAGCGAGACCTGAATTTCCCTGCAACGCCGCCTGTTGTTCGCTGGCGAGTAAAAAAGTTATTCATTTCTTAATGAAAATCTGCCTCAGGCGTCTAATTGTCTGGACTATTCGACACTTTTTGCCAAAAAATTGGAAATAAAACCGGGAATCATATTTTCTAAAAGGGACAAGAAAGGGAAACTATTAAATGTAATAAATAAATAAAATCGGTAGGACAGCTACAGTTTTCTGAGTTTTCAACTGTTCTTGAGGCTTTTCCGAGTTGTTACCCTATTGGCATCATTCCAAGGTATGAAAACAGCTCTTATCTTTTCATCGTACCTCATTTAATTGTTCAATTTTCTTGTTAAAATCAACTGCTTTCTAAGAACATCAACATGGAGGTTTGTTGCTCCTTTAAGACATTAGTTGGAGGGTTGTGTTCCTTTGATCGGAGAGACAAAAAAAAAAAGAACAGAGATAGTGCCGCTTCTGTCGTGCAGTAAAAGTATAACTAATCACAAGTCAATCTGGAATTTTCAAGATGTGGACAACGAAGTAGAACTGATCCTTGCCTGTGCTGCTGTGTTTTCCATTCAGGAAAGTGTCCAAACAATGACAATTTGCCCATCTCATCGATCTTCCTTAGGTATAGGATGGACACGGGGAACCGATAGGTGTAGGGTTCCATACGAAATATCCAAACATAAAAACATAAGAGGCAAATGTCCTAAAGCAGACAGAGGAATAAGCAAATTATTTTCGCATGTTATCTGGAATAAAACAGGACTATTGGTTTCAGTAGGATCAGGTAAGTCCAACGATCAACATTTTCACTTGTGTTCATCTTATGTAAATATATATATTATATAATGAGACTCAAGTCTAGCGGTTATTATTTTCAGGTGTTTGCAGATCGTGTAGGCAGGTTCTGACCTCCCTTTCCAAGGAGACTAAGCTTCCAAAGCAAATGAACAAATCTGTTGCTAGTGCGCATTGTGAGGAAAGTGTCGTTGAATGTAAAGAAACTTCACCTGTAAGTTGACAACTGTAATAGTTAACTAAAAGTATTAGATCGCTATCGAATGAAATGCTCGGAAATTAAAAGTAGGTAAAATAATCCGCAGTAGAAAAAAAGAAAACTCCCGACCCTGTCCCCCGTCAAAACATAGCGTCGCGCGCTTAACACGCGAGAAGCGAGAGATTTTTTTTCTCGCGTCTTGACCTCTTGCCGCGTATTTTTCGTGCTTCCCCTGCCTATCTCTGGAAAACGCTCAATGAGGACACTTACAAGGAAGCTTATTTATGTACAGGTCTTTTATAAGTTTTGTTTTTGAGGAGGGCGGGCGGGGGCGGGGTGGAGGTCTGGAGGTGAGCAGTCACTTTTTTGGAGCGTTCAGCATGTTTTTATCCCTTTTATTCAAAACAAACCGGTCAAATGGTAATAAGTAACAAACATTTCCGACACATGCTCACGTTGTTCAAAAGCAAATGATTTTTAAATAGTATCATTAAAATTTGTTCACCTTAATTAAAATCAACTGTCAGCACGGAATCGACATCTAGTGTGAGGGCGTGGCGCGCGAAGAACCTGAATTTGAGCACTTTGAAAGTGCAACTTCCCCCGCAAAACTTCATATCTTTTTTTCATACTTATTCCTTACTCCAACGGCAGCACTATATCATTGTTCAGGACAAAGTCCTTGTTTTATCATCAACATCATCATCATCGTCATAAGATCAGGATCATCGTCATTACTGTCATCATCATCATCGTTATCACTATTATTTCTAGTATCATTACAGTTATCATAGCCGTAACCAGCATCACCATCACCATCTTTATCATTATCATTTCTTATTATCATTATCAATCTGGCTATCGTGCGGAAGCTTTGACATAGCATTATTGCTATTGGTGACAAAAAATTGTAACTAGACTTGGTTGATCAGCGCCCATTCCTCAGCCTTCGCGTCTTTTTGTAGTGGTGAAAAACTACACCTTAATTATATTTTACGGGCATGGACAAAAAGAATGCTTTCTAGTTTTGCAAAAATTCCTGTTTTTTACCTGCTCAAAGAGTATGAGAAAGGTGAAATTCATTGGCGATGCATTCAGATCCTTAACTTTCACTGACAAAATTAGTGCCCTTCTCCGTTCTTTCCTAGGAAAGGCATACCACCTTCTCAACCAGTACACCGTTTAAAATAGAAACTCCGGGATGGTCAGAAGCTGGAAGTTTATACTTGCCACCAGAATCCGGGAGCCTTGAAGATTCCTTTGATCAGTTTGTTCAACAGAATCAGATGGAAAACTCACGATCAGCGCTTAACAAATTCCTTGTTACGCGGGACATAAGTCCTGTTCGTTCCTCCTTAACGACACCCTGGAATGACGCCAGTGAAAGGACGAGACGCTATTATATCAAAAAAGCCAGCGAAGCCGTTGCTGCATCACTGGAAGTAATGGCACCTGGTGAAAGTGCGGAGATGCTTTGGAGTACGTTGGTGAATTCAAAGGCAATACAAAAACACTTCGCCTGTGCGTCAGTCGAGCAAGAGAGCGTCGATAGTGCTCTTCTGGAGTCATTGGCAGAATGCTATAATAATGCTACCCAGTGGGACACGCGCCGTCAAATACTGTCCATTATGGTGGACAAAATCAGTCTTAAGTCTTTGCAACAGTATATTCCAGATATCACTCCATATCGTTACAAGATTGCCACACAGCACGCACTCCTGCATGGTACAGGTTGTCCATTACCAAAGCCAACACAAAGGAGGATGCGCGTCCCTCCGGAGATGGTTGACCACTTTATTTCTTTCATAACCAGTCAACACATAATTCAGGATTTGCCATTTGGGCAGAAACGACTTAAATTGTCGAGTGGCAAAGTACTCATTGTGCCTAATGTTATCAGAAACATGGTACCAGAACGCCTTGTGCAGCAGTATCAAGCGTATTGCAATGAGTCAAGTTTACCTTGTCTTGGCCGAAGCTCTTTGCTTCGAATACTCGAGGTCTGCTCCGCTTCTGTACGAACATCCCTACAAGGTTTAGACTACATTACCGCTTCTGGGGCTAAAGCGTTTGATGATTTGGAAGATGCAGCTGATACGCTAGGAGATCTCGGCATGGGGATGTCATGGGCACAGCAGCAAAAGAAACAACTCAAATTAGCGAAGCGGTATCTGAAAGGCGACTTCAAGGTAACTTGAATGACAGATATTGGCTGCGGTCACATCTGGGCTACTAACTATAGTTAAGACGGGGATAACTATAGTTAGCTATTTCGGTAATGTGACCGCTTCTCTGTTCGCTCTAACTATAGTTAGAAAATTTACGCTTCGGTGATCCAAAAAAATACAGACTAACTATAGCTATACCCAAGTAGGGTAGATCCTTCCCAAGTTTACAAACAACCAACCAATCAAAATGTGACGCTTCATTTCGCACGTGCGAGATGAGCATATGTAAATATGCAAAATAAAAACCAAGCGTGAAGCGAGGGGGAAACCAAAAACAACAAACAAAAATTTCACATTGGCTAATTAGAACTAACTGTTGTTAACTGCGTGCTGTGACCGCAATGTCGACCGAAAGCACTAACCACAGCTAGGTATGACATCACGTAACTTGACACTAACTTAAGTTAAAGTTTAGTTACGTCGTAGATGTGACCGCAGCCATTACGTCTGAGCAAATGAAGACATGAATGTATATAAAGCATTTTTATGTTTCTATTTTAAGGTTCATGTTTCCAAGACGTCCTCTGTTGCGGATCACTGCAGACGCTTTGACCTCAGTGATACTAAAGACGAAGACTACAAAGATATCTGTGATCATGTTCATAATGGCGTATGTGATCGTTGTGATCTTGTACAGCGGAGCGTGTGCGACGTTGAGGAAGCTATGAGCCACGTCACTACGACGACAGAGGAGCTGGAAGAACTAAAGTTTATAGTGGAGCAAGCTAAAAGCAGCATATTGGCTTGGAAGGCTCACCTCCTGCGCTCAGTAAACCAGGATGAAGCTAGAGTTGACGCTGTTGAAGAACTAAGTAAATATTCAGTTTTGCTTGTCCTGGGCAATGAAGTACTTGCCACGTCAATACAGAGAGAGCCAGACCAATTGGTTTGCAAAGCGCGGGATCCCCTGGCACAAAACCGTGGTGATACGACGTGCTCCAGCCTCAGATGTACTCGAGACAATGACATTTGTTCATATATTTCCAAGTTGTAGCCAAGACAGTTTCACGGTTCTAGCTATTATGGGTGACGTTCTAAAGAAACTGAAGAAGGCCATGCCAAATCTGGAAAATGTATTTTATCGTCAAGATAACGCCGGCTGCCACCATAGTGCTTCAACGATTATTGGTGCCAAATAGCAGGCAGAGAAGGCCGGGGTGACCTTGAAAAGATTAGATTTCTCAGACCCTCAAGGGGGAAAAGGGGCATGTGACAGGAAGGCAGCCAGTATCAAGTCCCACATGCAAATCTTCCTTAATGAAGGCCATGACATCGAGAGCGCTTCCCAGATGAAGACGGCAATTGAATCTTCTGGTGGAATCCCTGGTGTAGTTGTCACCGTGGCAGAGACTCCTCAGCGGCAAACAGGAAAGAATTTGACGTGGGACGGTGTTAGCTTCATAAACAATGTCGAGTACAACAGCGAAGGAATGAAGGTATGGAAGGCATACAACATAGGACCTGGTAAAGTGGTTCCCTGGAGCAAATTTAACGTATGTGTTGATGACCAGCCATCTTTGATTGCTAATCATGAAACAGAACAAAACTTGAATCCGCAATTTGTTGCCGTGAAGCCAAGAAAAACTGCAGATCCTTCCAAAGCAATCGCAGCTGAGGTTGAGGAAGATGATGGAGGCTCAAGTGGACCTGATGACGATTCAGGTTCTAAGTTATTTTCATGTCCAGAAGAAGGGTGCACAATGTCCTTTCAAAGGTATTCCAGTTTAGAACAACACATTCAGTGTGGTAAGCATAAAAGGGCATTGGAGCATGAAACGCTTCTCGACAGAGCAATGTTAACGTATACCTTTGCTCTTGAAAAGCCTGGGGTATCAAAACATTGTAATACCGGCCAAAGAGGGTTTTGTGACAAGAGAACACAGTTCAGATGCTCCGGGTTTCTCGTCATACATGGGGTGGGCTCTTAAAAGTTCCTTCTCCCGGAGTACTAGATTTAATTCCAGTCAGAAGGATTACCTTATAAAGAAATTTGAAATAGGAGAAAAAACCGGAAGGAAACTCGATCCTGGAACTGTTGCTAAAGATATGAGAGCTGCTAAAGATCCTAACGGCAAGCGTTTGTTCAATTGCAATGAATTCCTAACCAGTCAACAAATCCAGAGCTTCTTTTCAAGATTAGCATCTAAACGAACTGTTGATGTCATAACTGAAGAGGATAAAGAAGAAGAATGCAGCGCTCACCAGGAGGAAGTGCTGAGCAGATTGAGAAATGAGGTATCTGGTGTAGTAACCATGCCGCATCCAATCATGTTTGATACATATGATATCTGTGAACTGGCCTCTAGAGGCAAACTCAAAAGTACCTTTTCTGTATCGGTTTTGCGCGATATCTGCCTCGCTCTTGGTATAGACGTCTCCCAAATCATGGTGAAACGAAAGCAGCCATACATCGATGCCCTTCTGGAACTAGTAAGCACATGCACCTGCTCGAGTGGACAGGTCAATCCAACTATGAAATAAACAATTATTCAGTGAATGAAATCATCTGGAAGAAAGATGCTCTAGGCATGTTTAACATTGGCTCAGAACACCTGGATTTTGTCTTGGTATTGACTGGAGTTTGTTTGTTTGTTTGTTTTGTTATTATCTATTTTTTCTAATTATCGAAGGAGTGTGTGGGGAGCGGAAGGGTGAAAAATTGTCAAATTTCAGGGGCAAGAGAACTGATAATGCCGAGGTGGAAACCCTAGCAAGAAGTTTCTCATCAGAGCGCCAACCCACAACAAAGAAATGCTGTAAAACACCTAGCCATATGTTGCAAAGGAATCCACCCTTTTAAATCGTTGAAAGAAAGAACATAGCAAAACATGGACTTAAGGAAGATTATATGCTGCTAATAACACAAACAAGGGAAAAAGCGAAATCAATTCAAAAGACAACGAGCAGGCGTAATGCACCTATCAATGTCAACAAGCTGGCAGTGCGGGTGGAGGGGAGGGGGAAGCGAGGCATGGGGTGGGGATTTCACATTTTCCAAAAATTTGGCATTAAATTCCCTACCCACAGGCAAATCATTCCAGTCAAATCTTACCAAATTTCCCCACCCCGGGCTGCACCTTGCTGTCAAATAACGCACGGCTGGACCCAAAGGGACAATAACAATATCTCAGTCCAAATAAAACTCTACAATCGTTTTCTTAAAATGCTGCTGCATCACCAAAGATACATATTCCTGTTGCAATTATACGTTTTAACCATTCGATCGGTGTTACAATGCGTAGAATACAGAAACCTTTAGGAGAAAGTCCATATCATATTTTGTAAGTTTTAATATACCGTTTGTACCGAATGAGCCATACACTGATCAATTGTACTGGTCAAAATTCACTGTTTCTCTTTGCTTCCGTTTACTCTGATACCGCAGTATCTTAAAAGGATCCATTGATCAAAGAGACGCTTACACAAACGAAATTTTAAGACAAAACAGTGAAATCCACTCACCTTTCGATTCTCCTCGTTGGCCTCCATGATTTCCAGACCTTTTCAGACCGAGCGGCGCATGCGTGAAGCATGGATGTTCGGTCTCAGTGTCTTTCGTCCGAGTCGGCCGTCAAATATCCCCACGTCGTTGGGCGAAGAAAGATTCAAATATCAACTCTTCCAGGAGAACAAGATCAGTCAAACGCCCTACCCCGGGGCCAACAAAAACAATCAAATCCCCACCCCATTCCCTGCCTCCTCCCCCGCCGGCTTTACATTGATAGGTGCATAACGATGCAGGGGACACAATAAACAAGGACTGAATGAACTGTATTAAAATGTCAGATGTCAAACTGGGCGAGACATAAAGCTGTAATCGTACCTCAAAGTGCGGAAAACGTCTCCGCGAAGAGTAGCAGAAGTCAATGGAATCGAAATCAAACCCATCGCAAAGTCACGTGTCTGGTAACCTTCCGAAGGAGGCTGGGACAACTAATTAAAGTAATTCCTTCACCCAGTAACCTGAGATGTTGATCAATGTTTAATTATCTAGCAGAAAGCTTTATTAAGTTTGATACAGATAGTAGTTTTAAATTACTGTAGTGCAGAATCCTTAGCGATGTTCTCAACTTAGTTCTTCAGTATTTAACGCTTTGTTTTTCAAAGAAATCAGGTGAGATTAAATATAGCAACCGCTATTCCAGAACTCAGAAGGGCATGCATCTAGGAGGTAGCCTGTTCTTAATTAATTTATTTTTCTTTCTCGCGCTCCGCCTTCGAAAAGAAAAATAATAAAACAACGTCTGTTTACAGGCTAAGAGAGTCCTGAGGGCATGTTCCCCCATCAAAGTTTTCAAAGATTAATGTGGTGCTGAAGATTTTAAAAACCCTAACACCACTCCACCCGAACCAAGCGACTCGGTGGAGTCAAATACTGAGTGGCCCGATCGGGAATAACTAAAACATAGTCGGGTCTTGCTTTTTTCAAGAAAACCAAAAGTTACGCGTTCTCTCGCGGATACAGCTTCAATCGGGGAAATCGCGAAGACATTTTTCCCTTTAAGCCAACATTACTCTGAATCGCAGTCCTAGCTGTTCAGGAATGTAAATGTGAAATCAGCGTGCAAGTGTTGTCGCGTTGCCTAAGGATTTATAATATATATCATATTATTACAAATTATTAAAATGGCTATATATATTCCTGCTTGAGTGAAATATATTTGTTGTTTTGGTTGTGTATGCGTTGCTACTTTTTTGCTTATGTGCAATTCCTGAAACATGACATTAAAATCCACATTGAAAAACATGGCTCATTTGCTGAAAAAAAAAAAAAAAAAAAAAAAAAGACAAACAAAATCAGAAAGCTCTTAAGGAAATATCACGCCTTCGAACATTGTAATACTGATTTTTTGTTTTAATTCGACAAATTCTCCCACAAAATGAATGGTTTTGGCGTATTTGTTGCTCACGCCAATATCGTGACGAACCGTGTCACGCAATTATTTACAATGCGAAAGCAGCAATCTTCGCAAAATTAGAGTAAAACATCAAGTCTTGCAGGCCAGTTAAAATCGTTTGCCCAGAGATTTTTTTTGACTTTCCGTTAGATTAGTATCTAAGTAGGGCATGGAAGGTCAGTTTAGGAAATTCGAACTTATAGCGCAACGTTAAAATTGGACATATTTTTTGTTATATATTAGCTCCGTAGAAAAAGACAAATATAGCCTTTATTTAGCAGTTACCTTTGGCGCCAAAAATATTCAAGATTTTTCAAATGCTTCATTTTTTAAGAACAACAAGGCTTCAAGAAATTGTTTATGCTGCTCAAAGACTCGAAACTACTTGCAGTTTGACAAGCGAGTTGATTGAATTTTTGAGAAATTTCGTGTTACCGGAAGTAGATACTCACCTCTGATCGGGGAAAATGGGTTTCCTCGAATTTTAACGAGAGAAAGCTGTGTTTGGAAAAACTAACTTCAGCTGGTTTGCTTACTCATTAAGGGTTACCGATGAGCAAAAAATGAAGGAAATTGAATTTTGAACTTGTGCCGACAGTTGGTCGATATTTAGGGAAAGCTGCTCTTAATTGCTCATGTACTATATCGATCGATAGTTCACGAAGCAGCCATGGCGTTCCAAACCTGACGCTCACAGTCATCTTTTCAGTCTTTTAGTGTGAACCTACCGTGAACGGCGTGTCGGTTTGAATGCAACGCGAGCATTTCTCTGAGTTTCCCAGCGCCAACATCATCTAACTGACTTAAACTCGAACAATAAAAAAATTATAGAGTTACTCCCAGGGTCGAATACCTTCGAACAACGCAAATAGCCTTCTTAAGGTTCGCAACGCCTTGTGGGTTTTTCAGGGGGAGCGCAGACAAGGTACAAAAAGTATCCGTGCAAGGGTTCATGCAAGAGAAAACCCTATGAAACCATTTGTGAGAACATCGTTTCTACGTACCAGACCCTCGTGTTTTCCCTCCCCCGGATGACCACTTTGTGACACCGACGACCGAAAACCCATTTTATGACTGGGCTTGCCATGCAGCCCAGTAATTAGGAATTATAGCAACTAAGAATTATACCAACTTGTATGAAAGTTGCAAAAGGTTTAAGAAAACACATTTAGTCATACGTGTATTTAGAAATATATGTCGGTTACAGTTCAAAAAGAAAGAAATTGAAACTTGTATCTAGGTTCCAAAGACTGAATTTTAACATTTGTGCTGAAGTCGAGCTAGCTTAGAACGGCATTAGCACGACATTTGAAACAGGCCTTATTTAAGATGACTGGGTATATTTGTAGATGTAGCGGATTTCGTACACTTAACACTGCAGCGTAAAGCACACATTGCAATGTACTTTTGACATCGCAATTAAAAGGTTTATGGAAATAACTCTACTGTCTTTCGAGGCCGGGTTGATCGAAGCAGGGTTAAGGTAACCCAGGGTTAGTGCAAATTAAATTTAAATCGGATATGAGAGCCTTAAAAGCACTTTCAGTATAATTCTTTTTTAATACAATTTGACTGCATGCTCTGAAAAAAAAAATTGAGAAAATTATCAGAGAAAATGCTTTTTAACAAGAGAAAAAGAAACCTGAGTCAAAATATAACCCTGCCTTTGCGCTAATCGGCCTTCGCACAGCGGGCCCCGGCATATGTAACATCAACATCATATTTTAAAAAATAAAATTTGATTTATATTGATGAACTTAGTGTCTTTTCTGCATTACAAATACCCCTCTCTTCAAGACTGCCTGCCGACCAACTTTCCCTGGTCGCTTTGTAGAGCCTGATTTTATACAACTATTAACCCGTTTACAGTTGCAAGAATCAGTAAACATTATATAATGATATTTGATAATTCTTTTCAGCAAAATGAATCAAAACGTTCTTACCAGTAACGGCCCTTGGCGGGGAAGGAAGACCCGAATATGTGATCCAAGTTTTTCATTCCGTTTTAGCTCGTAAAGCACCAGCTACTCTAGCCTGTGCCAGGCTCTCAGATAGTATGGTGGGGACGTATTTACAACGAGCAAAGCAAAAACAAGAAGCGGGCATATCACATCATTCACTTTTACAATTTTTCAAACCATTTTTATTAATTTCGGCTCGTCTTACCTTGTTTTCTTCTGAATGCATTGCATTATAGATTTTTTAAATAACATTTTTAACAATGATTACACCTACTAGTCTCCGTTTCCTGTGTCGTGACGCAAGGGAGTTTAGCCTTGCGTGATGACACAGGAAACGGGTGTGAAAGACACTAGCGTTAATCTAAAGGAGTTACCGGGAATGTACAAACATGTTTGATGGATGATAAACAGATGCTAAAAAAATTAACTTGTCCTTAGGAATGTAATCCGCCACCTCAGAACAAAACAGCAGTGAAACAGACTCCGAGAGAGAGAGAAACCCCACCTTGTGCTATTATGCAAACAAATGAAACGTGAACCAAAACGTCTAACTGGTACCCAGGGAAGAAAAAGCCAAATCAAGTCAGTCTTCGACTACGAGTTTGTTATTTTATTTCATTATTTTTTGTGACTTGATAGTTCATTTTGTAAAGTTCTTTAAGTCTTTTAATATACTTAGCATGATCTCGCATTTCATTTCGTGACTCAAGCCAATGGTTGATGATACAAGGGACCAGGGAGAGTAAGATTTTGGGGGGAAGTAGATGTTTTATTCGATTCTCGTATTTCATGTACGTGACATGTTGTCGTCTCGCCTTATTTCAGACATTTATACCTTGTTTTAGCGGAGCTCTTCGCGCGCGCGAAGCGCGCGCAGAGCGGAGCACCATGGGTAAGAAAATTTGGTAAACTATCCATCTGAGAAAATTTGGTTATGACGTAGCGTACGCCCGCCCGCCCGCCCGCACACACGCCCGCACACACGCTTCATGTAAGCCGATGTCAAATGTCACAATAGATCTTGCACAACTCGACTAGCCTCTTAGTTATGTAAGCCATCCGTATGAGTACGATTAGATTGACAGCTGTCAAAATTAGACATCCGCTGACAATTATCACATGACTATCTCGCGGGCTCAGATGAAAGACCAGTCGTTTTGCCCCTACGTATAAGCTGATATAATATGTCACGCTTACCAATTCAACATAGAAACAAAACTACGCCGGGCAAGGCTGTCAGTTGGCTGACACTCGTTGAAAGTTATATTGGCAAGCCAAATGAAGGTCAATTGACAGCTGTCAAAATGGGACATGTGCAGACCACTATCAGAAAACTAATAACGTGGGCTCAGGTTCGCTCAGGTACACGATCTGGCATTTTCCACTACATGCCGGACGGATATGTCTTACTCACACTCGTAGTCTGTTAATTCGAATATTCGCCATTCTAATGAAGGTTAATTGACAGCTGTCAAACTAGAGTATACGCTGACCATCATCACCTGAGTGTATCGCGGGCTCATTTGTCTATCCATTGAGGTCACGTAGTGTTTAAAGTTTTGCGCTGATATTTTATTTGATCACGGGCTCAATTCGAAGTCCCATAGCTTAGAAAATCGATCCATCTTAGAAAATTCGGCAATCACGTGACCATACAGCGACCACCCGACCTTCCGTCCGTCCGCACCACAGGTATACCAATGTTTAATCTCACACTTTCTGGCTAGTTTGGGAGCCTGCAACCTGATATTGTACATCCATGTTTTGATTAATTGACAGCTCTCAAAATAGTGTTTCTGCTGACCAGTATCGCCTGACCCTATCGCGGGCTCAGGTATCGACCCACTGAGTTCGAGTGTATTTTTAACGTATCCGCTGACAGGTTGCTACTTTTCAATTATCGCAGGCTCAAGTTCAATTTTTTTAAAAAGCATATGAGATAAGACGAGTTCATGAGCCGCACTTTTAAAATGTTGATTTCGAACTGACCTCGGACGCGAAAATTCAACCAGCTTTTACATTTACATGCGGGGAAGGCAATCACTTTTGACTTTTCTCACTGTCACGCGTTGATCACGCTGTACGTCCAATTTTTATGTTCTGATTGGTCAAACTTTGACAGGTGAGTTCATGCGGAAAATTTATGCAGCGTCTGGAAACTTGCTTACTGATAGCTGGAGCTTACAGAGTTTTGTGTCATCTTGTGATGTTTTAAACTGGCTTTTCCTACTTGGTGTACAAAACTAAATACAGCCGCTATCAAGATTGTTCTGTAATTCATGGCTGGTTTGTTTATTGCGCTTTTTGTTGACAAATGCACCGCTTGTCAAAGTCATTGGAAATCCGATTTCGGATGGCATCGTTTTCAAAAATGAGCTTACTCACTTGCCCTTGCTTGAGGCGTAAGAGGGTTGAAAATTCTGGAACTCTTGATGACCTTCAGAAGCAGCATCTCGACTGGTAAGCCTGAGAAATTGTTGTCTTTGATGTGTTTTTTTTTTCGGTTTCCTGAAGTCGAGCGTATGGTTTATGGGGCTTAAGTTTATACATGAGCAATGATCTAACCTACAATAGTATCTGGTTTAAAAAGCCTTCAGACATTTTTTGACCGCAAATTCAAAGAAAATGTTCCGAAGATTATTTACTTATGATTTTGGCTGTAAACAGAAAGCTCTGAGCGATTTTCTTGCCTTGAGTTCATCTTGAAAAAGAGCAAACACCGGGAAGCCAGCTTAAAATATTAGCTTATGCTTACCTGACTCATGATTTTCAAAGACACCTTACTCTCAATACTTCTCTTCGTGAATGAAAATTATTGTCTCTGTACATGTTTCACCGAATTATATCTATTTTATTGATTGTTAGTAGTCCCTCTCGCAATTTTTATCACTGCACCGGTTGAATCCAGTCGAACATAAACATCTCATGCAGGAATACTCAAAACGCCGCGCGTAAAATTAATGTCACTCGCTTTTAAAGATTACACATACCAAAACCATACGCAGTTTAATAAATAAAGGGAAATAAAACCTAAACATAACAATTTATCTATCATGTTGAAGCGTAAATGGTAACTCTATTAATCGCACTGCAAATTTGGTGCCTGTCAAAAGTTTTCCCCGTCCGGCTGGCCGAAAAGTGATTTTGGGAATTCGTTTATCGTTTTCATTAAAAGCCCATATTACCCTGCATATCACATAGGACCAGATTTTTTAACTGAAAGTCTAAGTATTATAGAATTCTCTTCATGAAAACGTTTTATAATTCAATGCTATAATTTGTTGTGCAAAGGAAGGGTGTGCTTTGATCGTCGTGGATATTGAATGAGTGCAATTTCTCTTGCAAAATTGTGAAAAACTGCAGAATTATAGGTTTAAATAGGGCAAAAAAGAACAATTCTGTCCGAGGTCTGTATGATAAAAACAAGGGCCTCAGTACTGTTTACCTGAGACGTGATGAGAAAAAGTATGTTTAAAAGGCTGGTTTACACACCACCAGATTCGTCACCAAGATTTACTAGTAAACTAAACTTGTCGAACACAAAAAATCCGGCCTGTTTTTTTTTATTTTGGCTGCTCTTTTAGACAAAGGAATGCAACGTGTAAATTGGCTGCCACCAAGGACTATCGTGGCGCGTGTGTTTCTTAAAATTATATTTCGGGGTTGTCCAATTATCCATAGTCTCTCAAACGGAGCAATATTGGAGAGAGTGGTGAATGCCACATTATGATGTAACAGCTAATGCAAATACAATACACGAAGAGGTAAGTCTATTTGTTTTCCAGGCCTAATCTACTGTGATCGAACATGATTGCTATTTTTGGGTGTACAAATAAGACTATTTAATAACTCGATGTAAAAGCTGTTTCACTCTTGCACTGTCAAATTATTTTTCTCTAAAATCACTTAGCCTTTGCCTCAAACGTCAAATGAATGTGCCCTGATTTGTGGATTACAAGTTTATTGTTTGATTGAAATTATGAATTTATTAACGGGAGCTTCGCTTTTAGCCCTGGCTAAATCTATATATTAAATGGTTTTAGATTGTTTGCGAGTGGTTGTAGATGTTTTTGAGGTGGTTGTAGATGGTTGTAGGTGGTTGTTGAATTTTTTGAGGTGGTTGTAGGTGGTTTTAGGTGGTTTTAGGTCGTTCCATGTTTTAGTAACTACGTGTTTGCGACGCAAGAGTATTTCCGGGCATTTGGTTTGATTTTATACATCCCCATAATTCAAGTTTATTCTTTGCTACTCCTCAGATATATGTCGCAGCCGAAAAGAATAAGATTTACAGCCCTGTCCTGCTTTGACACAAACATTTACCAACGTGTATTTTAACGAGGTCGTACCCACGCTAACAAAGCAGTCATCAATTGGCAAGCAAAATTTGTAAACAAACATTTTATTACTGTTCTCTCAGTTCGCCTTATATAAACCCAGAAATACTTACAAATAGTGCCTGACCGGTGACAAAAACACACAACGTATGAGTATAAAGATTATCCTTAATTGAGCATAAATTTCAATTGCTTATCAGCAAATGAACAAATTCATTCGCGTTGCATCGGGTCAGTGTTCCGCAAAACAAATGTTATCGAGTAGAACACATAAAGAAACTAGATTATAAACAGAATATTCACACAATAATTTATTAAACATATACGATCATAAAGCAAAGATACAAGGAACATTTCAAGAGTACCAGATCGGTGAATCGCGTGGCCGGTTGTGGTATAACTACAGGTCGAAGTCAAAAATCAAATCAAAGTTGAATGAACTCATGCCTTTAACCACTTTCCAAGTATCGTGTATTCAACCATACCAGATTGATTGGCTAAGCTTCTCTATCTCCAAAGACTCTTGAAAACGTCCTGTTGCCGGACGGCCACCATGCTCTTCTGAACCTCCATGATCAAAACATTATTTTTTGCGTCTTCTTAAAAGGTAACCAGTCAAACAACACAACCACACGTTAATCACCACTACCGAAGTATAACTAGGCCAGCCAAAGCCACGGATGTCGGAATAAAACGAAGGATTTTCAATGATTGTACAGGTAATGGCGATTTCGAATTTAGTGTTCAACCAACAAATTTATTCTGAAGAGACAAACGGCACGCATGCGCATAACTGTAATCGCGTCCCTTTAATACACTACCAACCCAAAAAGACAGGACCCCACTGGTAGGAAAGTCAAGAGCCATTTCATCTTTCTTTAAACCCACATCCAAAGCAAGTGCCACCAAGAGAACCACTACCGAAGCTGTCGTAAACTCCAACCAGAGTAGCTGCTGTGTGAAAGTACCCAAGACCTCTTCTGTAACCAGAAAGTTTCAAGATTCTTGGAAAAACGAGTTTCCATGGGTGATCTATGACCCTGATGCGAACACAATGTTTTGCGATTTGTGTCGCAAAGCTGGCTCAAAAATTGCTGGTAAAACTGAATTTGTCACTGGCTCAAAGACAATAAGAAAGGAGACACTCAAAAAGCACGGTGAGAGCCATGGCCA